GTCTGGCTGACTTACTCAAACTGGATTTAGCCACTAGTCAATAAATCATGTTTTTGTTACACTTGGTTTGCATTAGTACTGCATTTTACTCTGCACTTTCTTTTTTTTTTTTTTTGGCTTTCTGATGATTGTTAATTCATCAGAAATCATCACTCAGTTTTAAAATAATTTCAACTCGGCCTTTTGTGACGAGACACTTCAGTTCCAGTGTTCCCTGATGGTTTGTTATGAAAGAGCGGAGTGTTATCTAGACAATGTGTGTGCAACCCCCCGTCACACACATGTCTGAGTTGCACATTTTGAATGCATTGGGGGAAAATGAAGGGTTTTTTAATCAATGCTTTTTTTGTTGTTGTTTTTAGTGAAGAATTCCCTGTTTCATGTGACTTGTTCTAATAACTGGAGTAAATAAAAAGAAAATATATTTACAGCTGTCTTTTGTTTTGTTGTACTTGTGTTCTGTTCTGAACTTAAGACTTTCACCAAAGCCTCTTATGATTGTACACAATTTTTGTAAACCTTGCCTTACAGGGCAGTGTTTTAGGAAAGCAGTAAGCAAGACCCAAACCACATGTTTGTTGCTTTAAATGGAGCTTCAACTCATCTGAGACCAAATTAGATTCCATCTGCCTATATTTTTTATTTTTAATTATTGTGATCTAAGTGGATGAGCACATAACTTCTGTCATCTGCAGAAAGAAAACTGCACAGAATGTTGTTTGTCTAAAATTGATTATAAAAAAGAAGTGGTTATTTACTGACAGAATTTTCATTTTGATGTAAACAATTTTGCTGATAGTATATATGAGGAAAATAGGATACATTATATTAAGCTGTCCTTTTTAAAGTATAATTATACAATTAAGGGTTTGGTTTCGGATTAGCTGTTTGTAATTTTGCATAATTGTGCAGTACAGTACATGTACCATGCATAACAAGGCACTGTAAAATAAAGTGTTACTTAAAAAATGTGCTAATAGTTTGAAAATTAGTGTTGGAAATGCCCTGGTTTAAAGCACAATGAGCAACTAATGGCCAAAAACTGCCCATGTATTGCTAGTCAGTGAAAGCATGCACTTGTAATTCCATGCACTGTTTGGACAGATCAAAATCGTGGCATCCACACTTCCCGTTTGGCCAACAAGGCCCACATTTCTCTTCCCCTCCGGCTCTAAAAATATTGTTGCTCAAGACTTCAAAACTGCAAGTGAACAAGAAGTAAAACTAAGGAAATAAGCACTTTCATTATGACATAATTGTGTCACATTTCTAACATGGTAGACTGAGGGAGTTCGTTTTATTGAACATTACATCGAATCACCTAGATTGACTGGACTCATAATAATATTAAGCAAATACATTTTCGTACTCAGTCTTGAGTCTTCCTGTTCCTGCTTCACTCTTTTTCATCACTTTATCACACTCACACACTCGTTCGCTCTCCCCTTTGTCCTTATAAGGAAGTGGAGCAGTTGGTGGAGTTTGGGCGGAAACGGCGCGCGGTGACAGCTGGGAACTTCAACACGCTCGCTCATACAGGAAGACGACGCAGACGAGGAGCCCGTAACACACCCATACAACATCAAAGACTGAAGCTAGGACCACTGTAACATTTCTCAGACGGTGACGGTAAGGAGAAAATGCTAAATGCATTGCCTTTATTGTTAGATATCTGTGTTAAGCGACTTGCCGGCGAAATATTTTCTAGACAGCGCGCCGCTGCGTCTCAGCGCAAATCATGACAACTGAAACAGGCAAATTCTGCGCGCATAATATTGCCAAAAGCAATACATTCTCACAGTGGCATTAGGCCGTATGAATAAAACGAGTTTCATCATACAACTGCATGTATGCAGATTTCATAACAGCAGTGTTATACGTCGGTTAGAAAAGTTCCTGATCTTGCAGAGCTCAGCGCACAGTGATGGGAAGTCTGACTCGCTTCCGCGAATCGATTCTTTCGAGCAGTTCGTTTCAAAGAACCGATTAAAAAAATCCAGCGATTCTTTTGCGTCATTACGTCATCGCGTGTTTTAATAAAATGCTTTTATTAAAAAGAACTCTGTTTCGCATGCGTGATTTATAAAACTCTCGCGCAAGCAAGTCGTAAACATATTTCCAGTACGTTTATTTGTAGAATTACTGGTAGGCTATTTAGCTGCATCCATTCACATTCTTGATCACCGTTTTACAGCTCATTCAGTATTCTCAGTTTTAGTTTGCGTTGTTTACTCAAACCATTTTGACTGATTCAGTTGAATTAATAAATCGTTCATCCCAGTCTTGTAAATCGGTTCAAGTGATTCACTGAAATGATCCGACTCAAACGAATACTGAAAATCGCTACAGCGCAAATGAAGGAAGTGGGGCGGCGTAAAGTGAACGCAAGCTCGTCGCGATTGCTACATTGCTTCCGTATTCATGTTGTTTTCTATAAACAATCGCTCTGTATTGTTTGACTGAACGCGCGACCGTGTTGCCCGACTGGCCTGATTATTCAGTCAAATCACATCACATCAAATCTCTTGGCTTGCCTCTTGCCTCGTATCCTATTGCTAGGGATGCACCGATATGAAAATTTTGGCCGATACCGATAACAGAAAAAATGAGCCGATATGGGCCGATACCGATATGGTGGCCGATATATCGTGCATCCCTACCTATTGCAATCCTATTAATGGCTTGACTGCCTGTCATGAAAGCCAGTGGACTATTGGTAGTGTCTTGTATGTTTGATGAATGTGGCACATCACACCCTGCGCTATGCCGAGAATGGATGCGATATGGCCTAGTTGTATTAGTCCTGAAGCATAAATGACCTATTTTTATGTCCAGAAGCACAGCTGGGTTTGAAATAAACAACCAGTTGCACACTAAATGTGGGTGAAAATCAGCCGTGGTGGGTAACACGCATCAACTCACTAGCCAGTTTAGGTTATGATTAATAAGTTATGTCCTCCAACCTGGAGCCTCCAATATTAAAAATAAAGCACAAAAGAGGGTTGCAAAAGAGGGTTGATTGACTCGTAGAACTGAAAGCTTTCAATTAAGTGATCCAGAATCAGATTTAATAATTAATATGCTTAAATCTTAGCAGTGATTTTGATCATCTGGTTTATTTTATTTTTGATGGTGGGTAACACGCATCAACTCACTAGCCAGTTTAGGTTATGATTAATAAGTTATGTCCTCCAACCTGGAGCCTCCAATATTAAAAATAAAGCACAAAGAGGGTTGCAAAAGAGGGTTGATTGACTCGTAGAACTGAAAGCTTTCAATTAAGTGATCCAGAATCAGATTTAATAATTAATATGCTTAAATCTTAGCAGTGATTTTGATCATCTGGTTTATTTTATTTTTGTTTTGGCTAGTAGAAGTTCTGAATGGCTTGGCTGGAAACTTTAAACATTTAGTAGCCATATTGGCTGGTGAGTGAAAAAGTTAATTTTAAACCCAAATGATAAGCAGTTTAGATCATCTCATTGATTTTCCTACTTTAGGTGGCTGTTTCTTCAATAATTGTTGCCGCCTCCATCTGTTTTTTAGGGAGAGGACATTAGGAACTGTTCTGAAATTTGTACCTGAGACAAGACAATTTGACTACTCTAATTTGAATGTGAATATTTTCTTACAATGTGAAAAAAAGGGAGAGGAGAAATTTGAATCTAGCTTGACTCCTGTCTACTCGTTGCCTTTTGCCATAATTGCTAACTTTATTCTATTTGGCAAAAGTTGAAATTCTGCATATCTGTTTCATTTGCTGATGTGTTTTTGTTTCCTCAAGGTGAATGTGCTTCTGTGATTTTAGTCCTGTGTGATCAAATGTTTTGTTCATTCCAATTGCCTGAACATTTGAAAACAACAGCCACAGCTGTTTGTGGTCTCAGAGGAAGCTGTTATTATTTTTATGACATTATTTTGTTAAATAGCTTACTCAATCTTTCACATTTTCTCAATACTAGTGCAATTTAATGTAGCCAGCATGAACTTCACTGTTAATAGTTTTCTGCTGTAGTTATAATGCATTCTTGGGAAATTTGTGATTCCTGTAGGAGTTACAAATAAGTGGGATTTTCCCCTCATTAATTGGTGCAAGCTCTCATTAAGGGCAGGTGATTACGTGCTCATATGGATACCTGTACATTTCCCAGAACAGCATTCAGGTGAAAAAGGGAGTGAGTCAGTGAGCCAGATTCACGTATCAGGTTTCTGTTACGTAATGTTACCTGTTTAGTGTGTGTGCATGTGAAGGGGCAGTAAAGAGGGACTTGTCTTTTGAAAGCTGCCCAAAGAAGGCAAACAATTCTACTTCCTCCTTTTTGTATCTTTAGAGGTTTGGCACATTTTTTTCCCCCTTAAATTGCAGATTTATTTCTTCCTGTAGCATTTTTGTGGGACAACATGTTATGGCACATCCTGCATTCTCTCCAGACTTTGCACATTGTGCATCTATGTTTTCTTTCTGTTGACTTTTTATGCACACTTTGTCGCTGATTTGATTTTTGATTTAGTCAAATGTGTGGAAGTCAGAATACAGTAATACCTTTTAAAATTGGCATAAAATAAAATTCACTGACCGCAAAGCTGAATTTTCAGCAGCCATTATTACAATCTTCAGTGTCACATGGTCCTTCTGAAATTATTGTAATATGCTGATTTGCTGCTTAAGAAACATTTCTTATCAGTTGCTGCTTAATATTTTAGTAGAAACTGTAATACTTTTTTTTTATTTGAATAAAGTTTAAAAGAACAGCAAATAATTGAAGTCTTTTGTAACATTATAAATGTCTTTACTGTCACTTTTGCTGAATTGAATTCATCATTGTGTAATTAATATAATAATTTCTTTCAAAAAACTCTTTCAGAGTTTTGAAAGGTAGTGTAACTTTGACTCCAATGTCATTTTTTATTTTATTTTTTACATTTCCTCATCGTCTCATTAGTCTCAATTTCTCTTTTTCTCTGTTATATAGTCTGTCCTGACCTCTCTGCTGGCCCCCATGTCTAAAGTAATCCAGGAGGTGCAATCGTTCCGTGAGAAGAACCGCTCCTCACCTCTCTTTAACCACCTCTCTGCTGTCAGTGAGAGCGTTCCCGCCCTCGGCTGGGTTGCCATGGTAAGGCGGAGAGTGGAGTCTGGGACTGTCAGCACTGTGTGTTGCAGTTTTTGTAGTTGAGTTGTTTCTGTTTGAGGTTAAATAAATTATGGGACTTTATACTTGGGAAGTGTTCTCTAACCAGTCAATTTCCTCATGCTCAAGTGTCAGAATTTCCTACATTTAAAATATCTGGGTTAAACTACCATACTTTGCATTGCATATAGTTTTTCAGGGATGAATATGGCGGGATTTAAGTGTTAGACCACATTACAAAGAAATGTTATGGTGTAAAATGAATAGGAAATAGTTATGATTATACTCTATTTCTAAGTCACAGATTGAATACAAGCAAATTTGCGACACAATTTAAAATTAATGAAAAAAAGTTCACTAATTGTTTCATGCAAATTGTAATAGAAAAAATAGTTATAATTAACAATTATATAACTTGCATGCTAAATGTGTATTAATAAACTAGAAATAGAAGCACAAGTAATCTCAGACATGTAATCTCAAAAAAAAAAAAAAAAAAAAAAACCTGTATGGATGTCTGTACACTGATTTTTTTATAGTCTGTGTATGCAGCTGAAATTATTTTTGGAAATAACATTTTGAAAGGTATTTTTATACATGATGATAAAAAAGATACTAAGTAAAGATTTGATGTTATAGTAAAGAACTTTCATTACAAGCTAAAATAGAAAGTGGAGTTTTGGGAATTCTTGTGAAGACATGAAGCTGTTTGTCCAATTAATTTATCAACTTATGCTGATCCTCTTTTTGGATTTTTCCCCAACAGGAAAATCAGGAGAGTGCCCATGGCCTTGTGATCAGTGACACAGAACTAAAGCAGGTGGTTTATGCCTTTAAGTGCAACAACAGCACTTTACAGGTGAAGGGGAAGATTAACTCCATTATTCTAGGTATGTACGCACTACCACTAGTTCCTCCAGTGTTCACTTTGTTTTTATATAGGTAGAAAGTTTAGACATTACCTTGTTGTTTTCTTTTCAGATAACTGTAAGAAATTGGGTCTCGTCTTTGACGATGTTGTGGGTATTGTTGAGGTGATCAACTGCAAAGATGTTAAGGTCCAGGTGTGTATACTTGTGCTAGATACTCTTCTCTTTATAAATGTACTTGAATGTGGTGTATCTGCAGATTTAGATATCTTTGTTTTATTTTTAATTTGATCCTGCAATGTGTGGAAGCTTGTTTCCACCGCTGAATAAAGTTATTCAGACTTTTTTACATTTCTACCTTTTTTTCCTCCAGAATTGCTAGGTGTGAACTCAAAATTTACATCTTGCAATTCTGAGGAAAAACAAGTCAGAATTGTGCGATACAGACTGAGTTGTGAGATGTAAAATGAGCAAGCTGAGAAAAATAGCTTGCATCTCACTTTCTCTGATTTCTGAATTTACATCTCAATTTTTACACATTTTTTTACACTGTTTTAAAAAATAAAATAAGGTAATTGAAAAATAAAAAAAGGGAATACAAAAAGGTAATTGCTACTTGTAGTGTGAGATATAATCTCAGAATTGCAAGAAAAAAATTCAGAATTGTGAGATAAAAGGGTGAAATTATTATTTTTTTTTTATCCTGCGGCGGAAACGAGCTTTCATAGAAATGGGCGTAAAAAGTATTCAAAATTAAATTATTTTAAATTATTTAAATTGATGTAAATGAAATTATTTGTGTAAATGCATTTCACTTTTCAACATTTTAGTATGTTTAGGTAAATATTGCTGTTTATTAATATGTATTAACATTAATACATATGAATAAATGTTATTCTCTTCTAAACTCATTTATTAAAAATTCATGTTTTTGAGTTAACATCATTCTTGGGTGGTCTCATCATATTTGGTCAGGCAATGAGGCGTAATATTTTTATGAAAAAGTCGCCTTTCATACAGTGAAACATACACTGTTTTCTTGAAAATCTGACTTTTAATTAAGGGTCTTAAATTTAATTCATTCAAAATGCCCAGATATCTTGATATTGCCGCTTTTTCTTTCTTATTGCTCTGTGCATCTGTACCTTTTGAGTGATTGCTCTTCTGTTGCTTTCCAGGTTATGGGTAAGGTGCCAACCATCTCCATCAACAAGACAGATGGCTGCCATGTGTACCTGAACAAGGACTCTCTATCATGTGAAATCATCAGTGCTAAGAGCTCAGAGATGAATGTGCTGGTGCCCAACAAAGATGGAGAATATGTAAGTAATGGAGTGATTCGTCTACGATTTTGAAGATTGTAAGAATAAGAGTGAGTAATTGCTTTTCTATTTCAATTTAATTCCAGACTGAGATCCCAGTCCCTGAACAATTCAAAACCGTATGGGACGGTAGCAAGCTGGTCACCACAGCAACCGAGATTGCTGGATAAACGACCAGCCTGTGTGAGACCACCCCCATTGCAGTGTCCTACCTGACTGACCAATGAGCTTAAACTACAAAATAGAATGGAATGCCAACCAGGTCCACTCTCCTATCAGCGGCAATTTTCCTTCAGCTAGTGACATGACTGCTTGCTTGCCACAAGCACTTGCTCAGTCAGCGGCAGGGCTCCATTCTCTTCTATTCCATTGATTTAAAACATTAGCACTTGAAATTGATTGCCAACAATTGAGGTGTTTTCATGTGTTTTGTTTTGTTGTCTTGCAGCCATACTAAGCAAAATATGAATGGCCAATGTGAGGAAGCAAGTCATTTTATCATATTTTGTATTTTTTTTTTTTTTCATTTGTATTTTCTGGTCAGGAGGCAGGTTTTTTGGGGGGGGGGGGGCATTTGATTTTTTGTTTTTATCCCTTTTATTGATTTATTTTGATACTCTAAATAGGAAATTAACTGCCATTAGATGGCGGTAAATGAATCCGTGTATCAGGAAAAAAACGAGAAATGTTTCACGTTTCTTTTTTCAATATTAAATCAAACGAATGATACACAGATTAAAATTTCTTCATGATTAAGTCATAGAATAACTTCTTATTTACTGAACTGTTGTATAACATCACATGTGCACTCGTGCTATTCATAGCACACCCTTACAGGAACAAGGCTCCACTGTCCACCAGTTATTTTTACGAGTTATTTTTTTCCTGGGCTTGATTGTGTGTATGGGGGTACAGTCTAACATGTGTTAATGCTTCGTTTAAAAAAACGAATTTTTCAAAGTAGCCCCTCACTGCAGAACAAAGATCCAGGGGGCGGGGTTGGAACCGCATCTAGGGGTGGAAATGGGTGGGTTTAGGGATCAGGGGTTGGAGACGGGTCCAATAAATACTTGTTAGGAAGCTTCCAAACCTTTTTCCACAAAATATTGTTCACTGATCTATTCCATTTTGAAATAGCATGAGGAGTGGAAACGCAATCATTAAGAAAAAGAAAGCGAATATTTCGGTTATTTTTCAATGTAGATTTAAAACATATCCCACCTACATACGTGTCAACTGGGTCTGGGAGAGGCATTTCAGAACTTGTCAAAGCACTGTTATAGCCCTTAAATAACATAATTACACCATTCGGAATAGCACCAAATACAGTGGCAAACTGTTTTGGAGTAACAGGAAACTTATAGTGAGAAAGAAATTCTTGATAAGTAAACAAGTAACCATTCTGATGAAATAATTGACTAACCCGGTCTGGGAGAGGCATTTCAGAACTTGTCAAAGCAGCGGCTTGTGCTCCGGTTGATCGTCTATATCGCTTATCAGTTTGAGCCCGATTGAGACGCAGAGGATATTAGTGAAGAGGATCACGCAGAACCCGCGCAAACACGGCTCTTAATGGTATGTTTTTTTATTGTTGTTGTCTCATACTTTTAGATACGCTGTTATTTGTAAATGGTACTTCTTCTGTTAGCTTTTATTTAAAGCCGATTAAAAGTTTAATACAGTACGGCAACCGCACGCGCGTCCATGTATAACGCTTCTCATAGCTATGTGAAAATAAGTGTATAAATGGAACAGTTCATTGTTGGAGCTGAGCTGAATGAGAGAGAGATGCAGAGCGTGTGGAGAGCAGGGGAACGCGAGGAACAGTATTAAAGGGGTCATATGATGCTTTTTTTAAAGATAATTATTTTGTGTATTTGGTGTAACAGAATATGTTGACATGCTTTAATGTTCAAAAAACACATTATTTTTCAAATACTGTACATTATTGTAGGTCCTCTATGCCCCGCCTCTCTCAAACGCTTCGTTGTCTACAAAGTCCCTCCTTCCGACAAGCGCAGTCTGCTCTGATTGGCCAGCTGACCCAGTGCATTGTGATTGGCCGAACACCGCAAGCACTCGTCAGAAATGTAACGCCCCTTACCATAATCGTGAGCTTCATCTTTCAAAATAAATGTAAAGACAGAGCCCGAAAGGGGAACAGAGTCGTGTGACAGACACAGTGATGAAGCTGCTATGTGTTTGCAGTACACAAGCCACGGTTTTTTTCGTCTTTTCTATGTGTAAAAACACCAAGGGAAGGAGAGAACACGCCGAATAGTAAATCTGTTAATGTCACTGACTCTCACTCAATACTGTGTGTTTTTGAAAGTTTTGATTTGGTTGGTTTAATAGTTAACATTACCTTCTTTGCGGGCATGACTCTCACTCACAGTTCATTGATGTAGATGTTAAATAACATTGGGCTTAAGCAGCAGCCCTGTCTCACTCTACACTCCTGGAAAAGATACCTCGTTGGTTTGGTGCTGATTTTTACGCCACATTTACTTTGTGTACATTGATTTGATAAGCTCAAAGGTTTTACCTCCTATGCCACTTTCAATAAGTTTGTAGAATAGTCCTTGGTGCCAAATTGAGTCAAACGCTTTTTTAAAGTCAATAAAGCATGCATATATTTTACCTTTATCTTGGTTAACATGTTTTTCAATTAGAGTATGTAATGTATAGATGTGATCAGATGTACGGTAATTTGGTAAACATCCGATTTGGCTTCTGCTCAGTACATTGTGTGTGGTGATGAAGTCTAATAGGCGAGCATTTATTATGCTACAGAATAACTTTCCCAGGTTGCTGCTCACACAGATGCCTCTGTAGTTGTTAGGATCAAATTTATCTCAATTTTTAAAGATTGGTGTTATCAAGCCTCGATTCCAGATGTCAGGGAAGTAACCTACACTCAGAAGCACATTGAATAGTTTTAGAATGGCCAATTGGAATTTACTGCTTGTGTGTTTTATCATTTCGTTTAATATCCCATCAGGTCCAGATGCTTTTTTGAGTTGGAGGTTTTTGATTTTTTCTTATCAGTTATTGGGAAATCTAATGGGTTTTGGTTATCTTTGATTGCTAATTCTAGTTTTTCCAGTTGGTTGATTGTTTGATTTTGCTTACAGTTTGTGTCTGTTTGTACTTTATTAAACAATGTTTGGAAATTACTTTCCCATATTTCTCCATTTTGTATGGCCAATTCTTCATGATCAGTTTTTTTCAGATTGTTCCAATTTTCCCAAAATTGGTTTGTGTTCACTGACTTCTCAATTATTGTCAGTTGTTTTTGGGTGTATTGGGCTTTTTTGGTTCTGAGTCTATGTTTGTATTGTTTTAGTGTTTCACTGTAAAGAAGGTGGATCTCTGCATAATTTGGATCCTTGTGTTTCTGATTTGACAATGTTCTCAGTTTTTTGCGAATAGTTTGGCAGTCTTGATCAAACCAATTTTTGTCATTTTTGGGTATTTGATTTTTTCCATTTTTTGTTTTCAATTTGGATTGTTTTGCTGATTTGTCAAATATGTAATTTATATCTTTGACCGCAAGATTGACACCCTCATTAGTGTGAGCATAGGTGTTATTTAGAAAGTTATCTAGCATATATTTTACCTTTATCTTGGCTAATGTGTTTTTCAGTTAGAGTATGTAATGTATAGATGTGATCAGATGTACGGTAATTTTGGTAAACATCCGATTTGGCTTCTGCTCAGTACATTGTGTGTGGTGATGAAGTCTAATAGGCGAGCATTTATTATGCTACAGAATAACTTTCCCAGGTTGCTGCTCACACAGATGCCTCTGTAGTTGTTAGGATCAAATTTATCTCAATTTTTAAAGATTGGTGTTATCAAGCCTCGATTCCAGATGTCAGGGAAGTAACCTACACTCAGAAGCACATTGAATAGTTTTAGAATGGCCAATTGGAATTTACTGCTTGTGTGTTTTATCATTTCGTTTAATATCCCATCAGGTCCAGATGCTTTTTTGAGTTGGAGGTTTTTGATTTTTTCTTTAAGTTCTTTATCAGTTATTGGGAAATCTAATGGGTTTTGGTTATCTTTGATTGCTAATTCTAGTTTTTCCAGTTGGTTGATTGTTTGATTTTGCTTACAGTTTGTGTCTGTTTGTACTTTATTAAACAATGTTTGGAAATTACTTTCCCATATTTCTCCATTTTGTATGGCCAATTCTTCATGATCAGTTTTTTTCAGATTGTTCCAATTTTCCCAAAATTGGTTTGTGTTCACTGACTTCTCAATTATTGTCAGTTGTTTTTGGGTGTATTGGGCTTTTTTGGTTCTGAGTCTATGTTTGTATTGTTTTAGTGTTTCACTGTAAAGAAGGTGGATCTCTGCATAATTTGGATCCTTGTGTTTCTGATTTGACAATGTTCTCAGTTTTTTGCGAATAGTTTGGCAGTCCTGATCAAACCAATTTTTGTAATTTTTGGGTATTTGATTTTTTCCCTTTATTTTTTCAGTTTATATTACCAGGTGTAGTATTTGCCTTGCTATACTGTGTTGATGTGGTTGTGGAATTGTGATTTGTACCAGATGATTTAAGTATTACTCTTGTACATTATGTGACCAGTTTGGAGCAGATGATGTTGAGCAGGTGTTTTATATGATTGAGTTCTGTGGCTGCAGGGTTTTGTGGCTGTTGGACTGCTGCGGCGTAGCTCTGTGATGGTGCTCCAGGGGTCGAGTCATGTCTGCTTCTTGAAGGAGGGGGGACGTTTCTTTGTGGCTGGGAGCTGCTCTTGCTGTGTAGATTTCTGTCTCCTGTTTTACCAAATGCTGTGCTTTTCAGCACTCTTGCGAAAAGTTGTACTCCTTTCTTGTTGAGGTGTATGTAGTCATACATATGATGGGGCCGAATGTCTTTATGGTAAGCCAGCTGAACATTTGGAATGAGTGCACAGCTTCTGGAGAGTTCTGCATTGTTTCCATGGATCACGCGAAGAGGCACATCACTCTGTGGCAGTAATGTGGACAGAGTTATTTTAGCTTCTGGGAAGCGTTCTGAGGCTCTGAGGGCCACCTCTCTTCGCTGCTCGTAAGTCATTGGTCCCTGTGTGGATTATGATGTGTTTGTAAGTTTCATTCAGATTTTTATCAGATAAGATCTGAAGAGCCTTGCTGGTATTTGGGCACCACATTTTCTGTGCTTTCATTTTTGGAAACAAGAGTTTCTCATTTATATATTTTCCGTTGGAGTCGATGAGAATAAGAGCGTGGGGTTGTGTGGAGCAGGGCGGTGGGCTTTGGTCTGTGGATCTGATGAAGACCGAGGCTCATCCTCTGCAGGTGATTGCTGATTGTCAGTGGGGGTCTCTAGACAGGTCAGGTGTTTAGCGTGAGATGCTTTGGATGATGAAACGTGAAGAAGTTGTTCCTTCATATTATTTATAAGTTCATCCTTCTTTCGAAGTTCTGATTTCAACACAGACAGTTCTTCCTGCATTTCTGTTTTAATTTCTGTTATCTGTCTTCTGAAAGTTGATTTTAATTCCTTCAGCTCTTCTCTAGCTTGGTGAAGCTCCTTTGACATCTG